AAGCTGAGTCAAAAGGCCAACTTCCATTAAAATGAATGGGATTTAGAGGGCTCCAAATCTTTTATGACAACTTTGTAACATGCCTATCTACCCCTTTTTGCAAATCTCAGCCATAGTTTGGAAGCTCAGCCAAAGAACATAAGAGCTTCTGAACATAAGAGCATAAAAAGCACCATGCTTGGTCAGCCCCATGGTCCATCTAGCTCAGTATCCTGTCCCAAACAGTGGCAGAGGTGGATGCTGTAGAGGGACAGTTTTGAACTGGTTATTTAGACCTATTTCATTGTCACTTCCTGCAACTTCATTGGTGTCAAAGGTCACGTGACATCACTTCCTGATGTGATACCACTTCCTGTGAGGTCTTTGAATATGGCTTGCCAGCCCACTGGTTGATGAAAAGTTTGTGATCCGGCCCCACATTCAAAAAGGTTGGACACCCCTGTTTTATATTGTACAAAGGTTGACAACCTATAGTCCACAAACCAGATTCAGCCTGCAAGATTTTATCTGGCCTGCCAAAAACCAGCTGCCTGCTCATTGCTCGCCTCCTTTCCCTCCCCCTGGGCTCCCACACAGCAGATCTCTGCAGACCCTCTGATCCCACATTTCCCAAGGAGGAATGAGCCAAGCACACAGAAAACTCACGCCAGCTGCTTCTGCAACATGTAGCCAAGGGGCAGGCATCTCCTAGAAGCCCTGGCAGGCAGCCTGCCCGCACACAGCTTAGGCAGCAGCATGCCATGCAGCACATGCCACGTCTTGGGCAAGTTGAGGGACCTGTCCTGACTCCAGTGGGCAATGACTGGTCAAATTAAGGCGTTATGACTCCCTGGCTGCATTCATTTGTGTTGCTGTCAGCAAAAGGTTGCCAATTCCTGGTAGAGCTCACTGCAACCCTAAGAAGTCACTGTTCTGGCCAATTAAAGTGGTGTTGACAAAGAAGGAGTCCCAAATCTTTCTTGTAATAAGGCTGGAGTTTTGTTGCAGCCATGACAGTCCAGGAAAGGTGTGAAAAGTAACATGGGTTTTCGGTTGACATCTTTTATCGGACTAACCATATAGCTGGAAATGTCAGAGGCTTTCCTACACAGAGACTTCTGGATCACCTGAAGGGTGCGGCATGCCCAAAAGCTCATCTAACACCTGTCAGCCATACAGTGGGTGCAATAAGAGACAGCACCGGGCCGGAAACGGGGGAGGGTGGCGCGAATCCACCCGCGTCCTCTCCCTTCCCAGCCCGTCGCCGCCGCTGTCCGCAAGGCGGCGCTATGGGGCGTTGCGCATGCGCAACCCAGGTTGACCCGCGCACCGCTGCTCCCACCTTCACGGCGCGCGGCCGGCGGCCCTCGCGGTACTTGGCGCGCGAGGCGCAGACGTCCCGCTGAGCGTGATGCCCGCACGCGCCCCGGCCCTCGCCGCCCGTCGCCGCCGCCATCTTCCGCCTCTACCCTCCGCG